ATAGGCATTAGACAGGACAGCCCCCTGCTGAAAAAGTTTTAGGTTGGATTCCTATGTTGAACGTAGGAGGTTAGACTTGATGGACTACTACAGGGGTCCTCAACCTTGGCAACTTTAAGACTTGTGGACTTCAACTCCCAGAATTCCTCAGCTTTGCTGGCTGAGGAATTCTGGGAGTTGAAGTCCACAAGTCTTAAAGTTGCCAAGGGTGAGGACCCCTGGACTACTAGAGTACTAGATGACTTCTTTCAACTCTCTGCTACCATGTAACTCTTAAAGCTGCAATTGCTTTAAGGAAGTCAGTTGAGTTGATTGGGTTTTCAGGCTGCTTATGCTACTGCTGGGGTCCATTCTTGAGTATTCTTTGCTGCAAAATAGGCAGCTGTCATTGTCATCTCCAAAGCTCCAAAACAGAGTGACTTAGATCATGATTTTCAGGACCTTTATGAATACAGAATAACAGAGTTGGAAGGGACCTTGAAGACCCTGTATCAGACAAATGGCTGTCCAATCTTTTCTTGAAATGCTCCAGCACCCACAACTTGAGGCAAACTGTTTCACTGTTCCCATTGACAGCAATTATTTCTTGTCTTGCCCTCAGGTGCTTTGGAGAATAGATTGACACCCCCTCAACTTTGCGACTTCCTCACAAATATTGAAAGACTGCTATCATGTCAACCTTAGTCCTCTTTGTGAGACCAGACCTTCTCAGTTCCCACAACCATTGACTGTACTGTTTAGCCTCCAGTCCCCTAATCATATTTGCTCTTCTCTACACTCTTGCAAAAATATCAGCATTTTTTTTGTATCGTGGTGACCAAAACTGGATGCAATACCCCCAAGTGTGGAATACTGTGTGATGATGGTTGCTTTGCACTCACTACAGAACTCTACGATGGACCCTCCTTTTCTTCTGCCTACTCTTCAAGGGTGGAGAAGTCAAGACTGAAACATCTACTATGGGAGAAAAATAGGAGAGCGTGCCAAGTCTTTCTCAAGTGGAGAGCCAGAACAAATGGTGTCCTTATATCTGCCTTGCCATTTTTTCCAAATGTTTTCATTCTCCCATGAAAGAAGCTTTTGTGTTCCTACCTTACTCGAAGGTTATTTGAACATTTCTGAACAATTATTCTTTCTTGGTGATTTTCAGCTGACTTCCTTGTTGTAAGTGGTGGAGTGCGCTACTGGGGCCATTATTTTCTGCGATGTATTTTTCCATCACTCTGTAGGTAGCCGATCTACACTTTCAAATCTGAAAACGCCCCTTAGGATTCCTTCCCTGAACAGAATGGAAGCATGGCCAGTCTTGATTACTGGAGACAGGCTTGTAGAAAGAGAAGAGAAGAGATTAACACCCATCCTTTGGCCATCTCAGCCCTAAACAAATGGAAGAACACCACAGCTCCATTCTTACCAATTCCACCACAATTCACTTCTCATAAAGAAATATCAAAAGCAGGTTCAGTTTCATTAAATAGGACAGGATGAACTCTTGTAGAAAAATCACACAGGTTAATATTTTCTGCCAGGGACTAGCCATGCAATCATCTTTTAGTCAGTAAACCTGAATTAAACACTATAACGATGAATCAGAAAGGGAAAGGAAGCAGAGTTAATCAGAATAGAGCTGGAAGGGATCTTGGAGGTCTTCTAGTCTAACCCCCTGCTCAAGCAGGAGACCCTATACTATTTCAAATAAGTGGCTGTCCAATCTCTTCTTAAAAGCCTCCAACTACAGCTACAACTTCTGGAGGCAAGCCCTTCCACTGATTAATTGTTCCCACTGTTAGGAACATTCTCCTCAGTTCTAGGTTGCTTCTATCCTTGATTAGTTTCCATCCGTTGCTTCTTCTCCTGCCTTCAGGCGCTTTGGAAAATAGGCTGACTCCTCCCCCCTCTTCTTCTTTTTGGCAACTCCTCAAATCCTGGAATACTGCTCTCATCTCACCCCTAGTCCTTTAAATTAAACAGTACAGTTTAAATAGTAAAATATAACCCTCTGCTTTTCATAAAACCTCTGCACTTTGCTACTGCAGAGGCCATCTGCAGTAGGGGGTACCTTGCTCAATAGTAGTAACTGTGAGAGGGATCTCGGAGTCCTAGTGGACAATCACCTAAATATGAGCCAGCCATGTGCTGCAGCTGCCAAAAAAGCCAACACAGTGCTAGGCTGCATTAACAGAGGGATAGAATCAAGATCATGGGAAGTATTAATACCACTTTACAATGCCTTGGTAAGGCCACACTTGGAATCCTGCATCCAGTTTTGGTCACCACGATGTAAAAAAAGATGTTGAGACTCTAGAAAGAGTACAGAGAAGAGCAACAAAGATGATTAGGGGACTGGAGGCTAAAACATATGAGGAACGGTTGCTGGAATTGGGTATGTCTAGTTTAACGAAGAGAAGGATGAGGGGGGACATGATAGCAGAGTTCCAATATCTCAGGGGCTGCCCCAAAGAAGAGGGAGTCAAGCTATTTTCCAAGGCGCCTGAAGGCAGGACAAGAAGCAACGGATGGAAACTGATCAAGGAGAGAAGCAACTTAGAACTAAGGAGAAATTTCCTGACAGTGAGAACAATTAACCAGTGGAACAACCTGCCTCCAGAAGCTGTGGGTGCTCCAACACTGGAAGTTTTTAAGAAGAAACAGGACAGCCATTTGTCCGAAATGGTATAGAGTTTCCTGCCTGAGCAGGAGGTTGGACTAGATGACCTCCAAGGTCCCTTCCAACTTTATCATCATCATCATCATCATCATCATCATTATTATTATTATTATTATTATTATTATTATTATTATTATTATTATTATTATTATTATTATTATTATTATTATTATTATCTTCCAGTCAATTGGGAAAGAGGGCTGGGGGTTTCGTCTTTTTTTCCCAGCACGGTGCTGCCTTTGGGGAAGAGATTATTTTAGCCCATGTTGCACATTCAGAGGGAACAAACGGAGCAGTCCCTCCTGTAGGGATCCTGATAAGCTACATTGATCCTTGATCTGGGTGGTCCAGCTTTGTTCCATTTTCTTCCAAGTTTCCATGTGTGGCAGGGGGGGTATCTTGACATAAGTCAGCAGGACAACTCCCCCTCCCCGATCCCCCCGGTACTTTCTGCAAAACACAAAGCAGGAATTTGTCTGTATAAATTCACCCTCAAAAATATATATATATATAAGCTCATCCTTCAACAGCCATGCCAGAAAGTAAATGCTTTCCAGGTTTTTATTTTTGAATGAATCATTTACGGAAGAGGCTCCAAGTTCACAAAAGCCTGAGAGAAGCTTCCTGCGACAGCTTCTCGCTTCCCCCACTCCAGACTCCCTGGCCGCTTGTGGGGTTTTCAGTCCAACGTGGAAATGTTGGCTTTAGAAGATCTCAGAGATGGAGAGACAGAGAGCAAAAGACAGAGAAACTCCTCTCAGGTATGTTCCTTGAGGCATATTTATGTATTTTATTTTTTTTTACCTAAAACTTTCTATCCAGTACTTCCAGGGCTTACGACGCAACCATCCAGGAGAGCTCAAAAGATTCCAGCGATTAAAAGGAAGACAAAAGTAAAAACATTACAGGAAAGAAGATTGTGGCTGGAGCAGGTCACACGCCGCCGTCACAATGGCCTTTGCCTGTAGAACAGGGCTCTCCAAACATGGCAACTTTTAAGACTTGTGGACTTCAACTCCCAGAATTCCTCAGCCAGCATGGAAGAGTTCTGGAAGTTGAAATCCACAAGGCTTAAAAGTTGCCAAGAGTGGAGAGACCCCTGCTGAGGAACGAAAGCGTTCCTAAGAAAGTAATCAAGAGAATTGTTCCGCTGCTTTCCTGAGGCGGGGAGTTCCACATGTTTTCCTTTTTGTGTGTGTGTGTTTTTGACAGCAAGGCGGATGACTGGCTTGGGTAAAAGGGGGGGAGGAGGTAGGGTTCTTCTTGTTTCCATGAATTCTGTCCTGCAAAATTCCTCCAAACACTTGTCTTCCTAAACTCCTTTGTTTTTCCTGC